GTAGAAGGGCGAGTCCCCAGGAGACGCCGCCATCGCCGAGGCCTGCAGGGCCATCACAACCTGATGACGGTGGTCATTTCGCGCCCTGGCAGAGCGTTGGAGCTCTTATAAGGAGGCGGAGCCACTTGAGATTGACACCTCGGTGTCCAGTGAGAAGGAGGGGAGGGTTAGAGGACAGAATAAAAGGGGAACGAAAAGGGAGGCTGGGGAGGAAGGAAATGCAGAGTGGAGGACGGAGACGGGCTGAACGAGAGTCGAAGAGAGAGACGACGAGGTGGATGTCTCCCATGGCTCTCGCAGGGGCACGCGCTTACCTCTGGTGACGGAACCAGGTAGCCGTCCCTATTTCTGAGGCCTCCTGTTCCCCTTCTAAAAAGGGGAAGCCATTCTCCGGAACGGCGACTGGAGGTAAAGACTACCCCTTTAAACAGGCTGGGGCGCCACAATCCTTAAGCAATTTTTTAAATTCCAGAATTCAAGTAGCTGTTCTGAAACTGGGCACAAGAGTTTTCAAAAAGGAAATGGAAGGAAAACATGGTCTTCATGTAGCACTTCCCTTTTCAAACAGCTCTCATCATGCGTAATCACAAAGTTAGGTTTTGAACTCTGGGGAGCTTGAGAGCCATTTGGGGCTTCTGGGAGTAGCATGTCAGGGGGAATCACTGTGGAGAAAATAATCAGCTATGTAGGCATTTCCCTCTGGAATAACACCACCTGTGCCCTCTCTCTTATGCCACGGTGACTAAAGGGAACCCCCATGTTCAGAGCAGTCTGTGTCTGAATGCCAGTGCCTAGGAGCCAGTAAGGGGGGGGGGGGGAGCCTTTGGCCTCTATGGCCCGTTTGTTGCTCCTTCAGAGCGACTGTTGAGTGAGGATGCTGGACTAGTGGACTAGATGGATCGCTGGTCTCCTCCACCAGGGCACCTCTCATGTTCTCACAGAAACTGAGGAAAGAGGTCTATAGATACATATTTGAAGGTGCTTAGCAGAACACCCAAATTAAGGGCTTTAAAATATGAATTATAAAACATGTATTGTTTGTGCAGCTGTGTCATGTCTATGTTTACGTCAAAGGGGCACTTTTAATTATGAAAAGTTGAATTTATAGAATACACATTTAAATTTCTAGGGAAGACAGATTTTTCACAGGAAACAAGCATCCTACCTGGAAAAGCTACTTCAGTGCTCTCACATAAATTCTACAGAAAACGACAAAACTTGTAGCTAGCTGCACATTCCCCCCCTAATGTTTTAGTAGTTATTAACTGCCACTGAAACTGATGAAGGCAGAGACTAGGCTGTCCTGTGATTTCTACAAACACTCCCTTTGTGCTTTTGACTGTTACCACAACAAATAAATAGACTAGAAACTGACTATTAAGAGAAGTGAAAGTGACCGTTCCGACACAATGGAACTGCTGTACTGCTCATGGTAGAGAGAATGTTGGCTGCCTTTCATAATTAAATAGATGGATGCTTTACATTCTAAAGCACAATTTAGGACCTGCCAAGCTGAACACAGCCCACAAGCCATGCATGGTGGCCAACCACAAAGCTTGATAAACTGCTTGGTTTTACTGCCTGCCTGAGATTACCCAAACAGGGAAAGTTGTAAAGCACCCAGGGCTGTCTGAAAGCCCTCATGGGTCCCTGGACAAAGATTCCACCCCCCCATATGACCCTGATTCAAACCAAATATCATTATAAAACAAACAAATCACTTAGCTTGCTGTTACCATGAATTTATAGTAGAAAAAGAATTGGCCTGTCTGTCCATGTTTGCTCATTTATTTGCTTTATTTATATCCCACCTTTCTCTCCAAAAGGGGCCCAAAGTGGCTTACATCATTCTCCTTGCCTCCATTTTATCCTCACAACGATCCTGTCAGGTAGGTTAGACTGAGAGTGTGTGACTGGCCCAAAGCCATCCAGCAGGCTTCCATGGCAGAGTGGGAATTTGAACCTGGATTTCCCAAATCCTGGTCCAACACTTTAACCACTACAGCACACTGTCAGGCATAACTCATGAGAGAATAAAGCTAGGAGTCTCAAAATTGGCCACCAGCTGCAGGATGATTGTGGTAGTTCCAGGGCCAAAACGGAAAGGCATGGGAAAATCCTAGCTCAGGTGAGACAAGCCACCACCACCCGATGCTATTTGGAATGAAGCGAAGGGTCTCTGTGGCAGGCATAACTCAGAAAATAATGCTACATGTTTAAAAACTGGCCACTAACCACAGAATGATGGAAGTTACACTTTCAAAAGTGAGGGAATGACAGACAAGAGCTTTTAGTCAAGCTGTCATATGTCTGTAATAGTCAGATCCCCAACCCACCATGGAAGGTTGCTGGTTGACACAATTTTAGCCAGATCTACCTCACAAGGCTGTTGTGAGGATACAATGGAGGACAGGAGAACAATGCAGTTTTGGGTGACCATTGGGGAGAAAGACTGCATATGGTATTTGTTATAAATCTAATTTTAATGATATTAAAAATATTACATCATTTGTCATATAGCAAAGTAGCCTTTACAGAGGGCTATTAGATCTTCCACCAGCACAATAGTGATTAACAACCCAGTGCCTGAACTGGGAGTTGCAGCTTCTGTTCTATATGTATAACCAGTAAAACAGATTAATGTTCCATTACCATGCATGCAATGTTCCCTCTAAGCTGTGGAGTCTTGTGAGCAAAAATTCTACTTTGTGAGCTACTGGCATGAAAGTTGTGAGCAAGAGATTTGGCTGCTGCATAAATTAGTTTGCTCTGGAGCCCTCCTTCCTGAGCTAAGACAAAAAGGTGTGAGCTGGAGGCTAAGAAAATGTGAGCTGGCTCACACTGACTCAGCTTAGAGGGAACACTGCATGCATGTAAAGGGTGGAGAAGGGGGAAAATCCTTTTACTACTTTGTTAGTTCATGTGGAAATATTTACTCTCCCACCCACTTTCTGTTCATAATATTAACAAAGTTTTGCTACCATACTACTCTTAAGTACATTCTGTTGCCAAGCAGGATAGGGATTAGAAGGTCCTGCGCCCAAGAAGCGAAAATAAAGGGGGGGGAGAGACATTGAAAACTTAGGTAGAAGGCGAGATAAATGAATGAGCAAAGTGTGGAAAAAAGGGAGAGAAATTAAGGAAAAGAGAGGAAAAGCTTGTTTTATCTTTCTGCAACATCCTAACTACTGCTTTGCAAGATCTGGCTGAGTTGGGTGCAAGGAAAGGAAGAAAGGCCAGGGGTCATTTCCTGTAGGAGCACACTGGAGCGGAGCTCCGGCAGTAAAGAGCCCAGGGGGTGGGCACATGCAACAAGCCCCACCCCTTGCTCCCAGCAGCCCTCAGTCAGAGCAAGAAGCAGTCAGGTATGCTGCAGAGCTCCCCCCCCCCAGTCCAAAATAGCCCAGTGGCACCTTTAAGACCAAGTTTTATTCAGGTACAAGCTCTCCCTCCTCTGCGAGGACAGATCTGCATGTTCCCCCTCCCCCATAGCTAGCAATCCAAAACAGTCCAGTGGCACCTTAAAGACCAAGTTTTATTCAGGTACAAGCTCTCCCTCCTCTGTGAGGACAGATTTGCACGTCCCCCCCCATAGCTAGCAATCCAAAACAGTCCAGTGGCACCTTTAAGACCAGGTTTTATTCAGGTACAAGCTCTCCCTCCTCTGCGAGGACAGATCTGCACATCCCCCCCCCATAGCTAGCAATCCAAAACAGTCCAGTGGCACCTTTAAGACCAGGTTTTATTCAGGTACAAGCTCTCCCTCCTCTGCGAGGACAGATCTGCACATCCCCCCCCCATAGCTAGCAATCCAAAACAGTCCAGTGGAGCCTGAGTGGTGGGTGTTGCCTTCTGGCACACTTCCAGTGATGTCAGGGGGTGTGGCATATGCAAATATGTTATGCTAATGAGTTATGCTAATGAGCTCCTGCACCTCTTTTTCTACAAAATGACCCCTGAGAAAGGCTAGACTATTATAGAAAATGACCTTGGTTAGCTGGCTGCAGGCCGACAGCCATCAACCAGGGTTGCTTGTCTTGCTCCATTGCTGGATTGATTAGTGAGTCTGGCATGATTCGTGAGACAAGTTTGCAAATGTCTTGGAGAAAGGGAAGTCTAGCTGATAATAGAGAGCCTTTTACTGTGTTCAGACTTCCATGTGCCCCTAGTGGCTTCAGCCAGAACTGCATAAAATAAATGGAAAGACCTTCTGCTGGATGCAGCATGACCTTGGCTTCAAAGGCCTTCCAGCTGCAAACCCCCCCCCCCCGAATTTTGTTCCTCCAGTCCTCCTCTGTTGGTGACCCTGAAAGCACCTAGCTAGCCACACAGTACATAACTAGTGGGTGTCGCAAGTTATGCAAGGCCCTATAAGAAAGTATAGAAGTAGTTGTTTTGAAGAGAATTTTTGGCCTTGAATTCAAACAAATAGAATAATACCATATGTACTGGAAAGGAAGGCAAGACAACCCTCCTCAACAACCTGAGTGCAAGACAACCCTCCTCAATGTTATTCACATAAAGTGTTCTTATTACTGTATACACCTGTCACTTGTCGGGGACAACCTCTTTTTTTTGGGGGGGGGCAGCATACCTGGGGGGAAAACTAGTTTACCTTTTGGGTACTACAGTGCATTGCTACAATGAGAGCAAGTACTGTAAGGGCTGGATAATATGCTAATATAGGCACAGTTCAGCCATCTCTCTCTTTTTTAAGACGATGGGACAAGAGGGGATTTTATGTAGATTGAGCCACAGCAACTGATCAGGTGGCCATAAAACCAAGATGAGGGAAATTCAAAGCTGAAAATTGCATGTCATCATGCTACTTTTAACTACTGCCCTTCATGGATATGTAAGAGTTAGACAAGAAGGTTGGCATCCAAAATCCAGATCAACAGAAGTCACTGACAGGTGCAGCATAGAGGATTTCCCAGCCAAATAGGTACCTGCTGAAATAAAGGAGTGCAATCAGATGCAGAGCCCCTGTGTTGACTCACCTGGTAGGAGGAATGTCTGTGGAGTAGAGATCTGTTTCTGTATCAGCCAAGAGCACAGCCTTCATGCCCCGTGAACTTAGTACTTGTTGACAAAACCTGCAGCACAGGATGGACACGCACCTGTCTGCAAAGCTGCAACTGCTGGTGGACATGGTGAAAGCAGTCTGTGCTAGAGGGGAATCAGGTGCGTCCCTGAATCTTCTCAGTGGACAAGGCAAACAGTTCTTATTCGAGGGGCGACACGGACCTTTCTTCCAAGCCTCACTTACTGGCACCTGATTTTTTATTTAATCGGCAATTTCTGTAGTCTTAATCAAGGATTAGCACCTCTAGATCTTTCATAAATATGTAACGGGGGGGGCACTGGTGGTGTGTGGGGGGAAAGCGTCTTTTTTAACCTCCTTGGGGAACAATCGCAAGGATGTAAAAAGGCAAAATAACCAACCTGCAGGAAATGAAAGCCAAAGAGACTGGAACTTGCCCCCGGGGACCAATCCCACAATACTGTTTCCTTCTGCTATTCCTCCGGCTGTTTACAACTGTTTCTTTCTTTCCTAATGCCTATCTCCAGTTAACATGGAACTGGAGATAGGCAGGTCTGGAACTTGCACAGAGGCTTGATCGACCACCCCTTATTATTATTGTTATCATCCCACTCTCTGGGCCGTAATCACGCGTTTTTTCGTTGCTCTCTACCCCCCCATTTTTGGAAGGGTCGGAATCTTGCCTGCCTGGCTTTCGCGGGGAGGAAGGGACAAGATCTACCTGTCTTCTTGTCAGCAGCCCCCCTGGCCTGACTCCTTCTGCTCTATGAGCCCCTCGGCTGCTCAAAAGCAGACGCTACTGTCGTTTCACTAACCCTCTGTCAGTTTGAATCCGTAAATTCGCTTCTCATTGGGAGAAACGTGACCCGCCTCCGGAGTCTGATTGGTACAAAGGCTTCGTCACTAACTCCTAGAGAAAGTGGGCCAGTCTCTTCGGTCTCTCTATGTAAGAAGATAAAAAAACACACCCCTAGCTTCCGATAGGTCCAGTAATAACTGATATTTGCATGCCCCGCCCTCTTATAGCCGCTGCTCGCTGGGTTGAGCCTCTGCCCTTCAGCTCATCCTGAATGGTTCTCATCAGCATTTACTGGGAGGTGTTAATGGAGAAAAGTGGCGGGACCCAGGCAATGCAGGGAGGAAGGTGGAGTGTAATGGTTGGTTGGAGCAGTTGCCATTCTTCAGAGTTCCCTTTTCCGATTGGTCTCGCTCAGTGGAATGGGCGGAGGAGCTGGATTGGGGTTGCGGAGGGAACGGACGGCGGGAGTAGTAGCAGCCGGAGGAAAGCGGCTCTTGGGAAAAGAGCTCCGTCTGTACAGCACTGCAGGTAACAATTGCGCCTAGTATGGAGGAATCCGAGGCTAGGTCGCTTAACACGGATTTCCCAGCACAGCTTCCCTATGCCATTATAATAATTTTTTTGCAGGGATTTGCAGTGGGTAGGAGCCGCCCCGCCTTCTCGAACTTGACTGCAATGCATGTAGTGTTGGTCTCCCGCCAGGACAGGAATCCCGCTCCGGAACAGTACTGCTTCGAGAAAAGTAGAGGAACTCTATCCGATAATAGTCCATATCCTCCACACTTGGGCAAGCAGGACCCTCTCCGCCCCCTCGGTCTTCTTCTTCTTCTAACCCACAGCGAGCGCTGGAAGTCCTGTAATGTCCATTCGGTACAGGGTCGATATTCCATCCCATAATATTTCTCACTGCAGCAGATAGGGGAGCCGCATCCCGTATGCTCCCTTAAGAAGAAAATGTTTCCCTCGGATTGCCTCCACTTCGTAACTACGACCAGGTCTTAAAGAAGTTCTTTTAAAACGTCCTCAAAACGACACTGGTAACAAGCCTGTTCAGACAGCTTCCTCCATATAGCCATAGCAGTAGCTCTTCCCCGAAACCCGCTTCCCTAAATTTTTGAGTGGGTTTTTTTTTTTGGGGGGGGGGTAGGGCAGAGCTTCTAACAGATAGCCCCAACCCCTTATAGCTTACCCTTTGCTGATATGTAGTCTTTGATTCATAATATTCCAGGATGGGAAAATGGCTTATTTCTTGTGATTGTTCTCTCTCCCATTGGGTGTAGAAGACAAAACTTCCTCCCCATCTCCACTTGGCAGTCTTTCCAGATCATAACTTTCAAGCCTATGCCATTTTCTCTTCTGCATGTTCTCTCTGGTAACTTTAGCAACCAGAAGGGGAGATATGCTGGGACTTCACAACTTGTGTCCTACCAGCTGAATGTCACTCACGAGGCAGCTCAGTAAATCTCTTGCTTCTCCTGAGGCCCTGGGACTGTAGGATTGGGATCGGTGAGCATCCAACAAGCAAGGAAACATAAAGCATGCAATGCATTTAGCTTGGTGGGTCGCAGGTTGTGTACCCTAATGCTCAGTTCACTCAGTATAAATCCCCAATAAAAAGACAACAAAGGAATACCTTTCTCAACACCATAGCATTGGATTTTTGGGTTGAATAGTGGGAATCTTGTGAAGGAGATGGCAGAACTTGAAAGGTTGCTGAGGCAGAAGATTTGTAGTGATTCTGCTGTGTATTTTTGGGAGAGCTTTAAGTATGTTTGCAGTGTTGCCTCACAGCTGGTGGACAGTGTGTGCTAGTGCTAGCCAGAAATGTGCTTCACTCCTTTGGAGCCAGCTACACTTTCTCTTTGTTTTGTGATTCCAGCAAATGCTTTAGCCCTCAGTCTGTGACCCTTTACCACTTCCTGTCTCTGTTGGCCACATTGTTCCTCTCATTGGATGTGGATCCAGGTTTCTTCTGTCTCCATCCCCCTCTCCTTAGCATTTGTTGCCAACAGTAGCTTGTAATCCCCCCCCCAGAAGTTGTGCCCTGACTTCCCCCTGCTGAGAGACTTGCATCTGTCTTACACACATGGAGTTACATTTCCCTTGGCTCCAAATAAACTTTGATGTCTACAGCCGATACATGTATTTTTTTCTTTTGCGTATAATGGAGTCCAAACCTCTCTAAAATTAACAATAATACACAAAATACTTAAAGCTGGTGTGTTGGCTGGACCAAGGGCTACAGCTTTAGCTACACCAAGGGGGATTAGTCCTGTTTATACAATGACTTGTGGATTCATTTATGAGCTCCTATGGTTCAAGTAATATGAGGATTTGGGTCTTTTTTTTTTAGCATATTGTATTGCTCTGCCTCCAGTAGTTTTGCCATTTAGCTAGTTGCGTGTGTGCGGGGGGGGGGGGGGCCCCTTTGTTTTTCCTTTTCTTCATTTTCCTCCGTTTTTTCCTAATAACTCTTACTTGCTATACTTGGGAGAAGGGGTTATTTACCCTTTTTTGCTGATTTGATGCATTAGTTATTACACTGTGATTTGACTAGCTTGTACTTCAAATCCTTAACTTTAAAATTGTGCTTGTTGTTTTGTATATGTCCTTGGTTGGCAGTTAAATAACTATTTCAATTTACAGGCCTTTGAACTGAAGAAAGTGACTTTGGAGTTTCTGTCTCTCTTCTACCATTTGGGATTTAATTTGCATCATCTCTGATTCTATTTAAAAAGAAAGCAGCAAGTCAAACCCGCACACAACATGTTGTTGCGCAGAAGGACTTCCACTCCCTGACTGTGCTATTAATGTTAGCAATCAGGAAAAGCCTTTGGGGGCTGCAGATTCTCTAGTCTGATGCTGCCGCTGCCAGTGCTGCTGAGGGTTTTGGTGCAGGGAATCCAAACTGCTGCCTTTTCCTTCGGCTGAGCTCTTCACATCTGCATGTTTCTGCTGCTCTTACACACTCCATCTCCCACCCTCTCTCCATGGACTGATTGCTGTTAAGGAAAGCCGAGCCCAACCAAGTGATCGCTTTTGGGAGGAACGCAGATTGCATTATTTGTCATATTCTGGAGTGTCTGTTCGGAGGATAATCTTTTTTTCGGGGGGGGGGGGAAGAAAAACATGACGTCGCCAGCTAAATTCAAAAAGGATAAGGAGATCATAGCCGAATATGACATGCAAGTCAAAGGTAAGGATTTCTTTAAACAAAATATGAATCTGCTGTGTTGGGGTGTGTGTGTTTTATGGTCTCAACTTGCAATGCAGGAGCTCACGCTACATGTTTGGGTGTGGAAGGGAGAAGCATTTGCAGATCGACAGGAATTTGCAGTGCTTTCCAATAGTGCAATGTTAGAAAGGATTGACAGTGATTGCAGCTTCATGGGGGTGGGTGTCACACTGTCTTTTTCTATTTTGTAAAATAACTGTTCTGTTGCTTGGTAAGATCACAGAGGAATATATACAATACATGTGTAGTTCTACAAATATGTTTATAGTAGGCAACAGTCTAACAGACAATGAATCATAGTTTGATTGTAAATGCCCCCCCCCCCGGTAAGTATTATCTTAAGGAGCTTTGTTGCTTGGCAGTATTGTGGATTTGAGTTTATAGGGCTCTTTACAGCTGTATGCACCAAAAGGCTTTTACTCTTCATAAATGCCTTCTGTATATGCCTATCGTACATCTCTGGCAGCTGACTGCAACGCCCTTCAATTTGAACTGCATATATGTACTGCTAAACTCTTTCAGTGATTCTGCGCTCTGTTTGAAAGATGTCCATTAAAGGGTGTGTTACATTTGCTGCAAACAACAACTTGACAGGCAGGCTTCCTGCAGGAGTATCTTGGTGACATTAGGCAAGTGGGCTTGGTTTCACATCATCACATGCTAGGGTGACAAGAGTAAAGAGACACTGGCTTGCCTAACCCTTTTGTGTCTGCAGAGTTTTCAGCATTCTTCATACATATGTGCATAGTGGACTCTTGTTCCTGCATATTCTTAAACATACAAAATGTTGCTGATAGAGGGACTCTGAAGCAGTTCCTTGAATGAAAAGTGCTTGATCTGCTCATGTATGCAGCAATACATGAGAGAATGGCGTTGAGGTTGTTGGGAATTAACTGGGTTCTCCTGAACTGAGTGTGTGCTCCAGGGCTTGATCTGCTCCCATTTTTAAGTAATTGCAGAGCTGTTGAGGATTTGTGGGCCTCTTGGTATGATCTGAGGCGTGAGGCAGATTGCTATCTTTTCCATGCTCTGACTCTATAATACATGTGGGAAGCAAGACAGTCTTCTCAAAGG